ATGCAGAATGCTTTATTCAATGGAAAGAAATGGTGACGAGCAAGTTGAACTGGTAGGTAATGCAAAGACCATCTGTGTGTATCTTCAGGATGCACTATACGTTGTTCACACCTTCTGAATTTTATTAGACATGTTGTTAGTGTTGTCAGTCAGTTCCACCTCAAAATGACCCAGTGTACAACAGGACCAAACACGACCTGGTTCTATAACATCCTCAGTTGTGGTTCCCTTGAGCCCATTGTTGCAATCACTGCATCAAAGCATCTTATTGAGAATCCTTCATGTCCTTCACCAATGACTGGCTCCACCCAATAATAAATCCAAAGTCCTTGAGACAATCTTGCCCTTCTCACTCGTAAGGCACACTGTGGTTGTACTTCTTCTGAAAAGGATTTGTTCGGTCTTCTGGCAGTTCTTGGCCAAGCACAGCTTGGGTCAGGTATACGTTTGTTTTCAAAGTGGCATAACTTGGCTTTTGTAACCCTCTACATAAGTCTTTTGCAGCAGATCTGCCCAATGCAATATGTTACTTGATATGACTGCTGCTTCCATGCACACTGATTATGGATCTAAGTAATGCAATTCTTTACAGCTTCTTTTCTGTTTATTATGTTTATTGATACAGTTATGAGGACTGTTTTCTTTATTGTGCTGTGATCCACATCGAAGGCTGTAGTCTTTGATCTTAATTAATAAGTACAATGTTATCTTTGCTTTTAGAAAGCAAGGTTCTGTCATCTGCATATCGCGGGTTGTTGATAAGATTTCCTTAAACCCAATGGCAGATTCTCCTTCATACTCAGCTTCTCAGATTATTTGATCAATATTTTGTTGTTGTTGTTGTTAGGTACCCACAAATTCATTCCAACTGACAGCAACTCTAAGTGCAACAGAGTGGAAACACTACTCAGTCCTGCAACATCCTCACAACTATTCTTATGTTTGAGGACATTGTTGCAACCATTGTTTCAATCCATCTGTGTTAGTCCAGGTTGACTAGAGAAACAAATCCAGAGACACTGATATGTGTGAGAGAACTTTATATCAAGAAGTAATTATACATCACTAAAACATTCCAGCCCAGTCCAGATCAAGTCCATAAGTTCCATAATAGCCCATAAGTCCAATATGAACCCATGAATTCGTCTTCAGATGCACACAGCACATGCAATGATGCTGAAAGCAGGAAGATCACAGGCCAGTGGGGAGAAAGTCTTGTGGAAGCATCTCAGTGTTGGTTCAGCTCTCCATGTGGCTCCTCGAGCCCCAGGGCTCTGGCTGCCATAAGCACAGCTCCATGTGGCTTGTCAACAGGAATGTGAAGCAGAGAGTGTGTGTGTGTCCTGCCTCCAGGGAAGAAGACAGGAGTTCCCAGAAGCCTAGGGAGAAGGCCACGCCCACACAGAGGCATGGATGGCTATGACCTGATTGACAGGCTAGACTCGACCCCTTCACTCAAGTTGACAGGAGATTCTATAACTACCACACCATCTTGTCAAGGGTCTCTTCTTTTTCATTGCCTTTCTATATTACCAGGAAGGTGTCCTTTTTCAGGGACTGGTCTCTTGTGGTAGCATGTCCACAACACACGAGACAAAGGCACACCTTCCTCACTTAGGAGAGGGACTCTGGCTGTGCTTTCTCTGATACATTTTTCCTTTGTTGTTTTAGCAGTCCACCATACTTTCAATATTCCCCATCAGCACTAATACAAATGCAATGACTCTTCTTTGTCCAATTTCACATTCATAGGAGGTGACTGAAAAGACCAAGGCTTGAATCAAGTGCACATTGGTCTTCACAGTGACATCGTTGCTCAGCATGGACTGAATAATCATAGCGAAAGATACAAAGGGATGCACAGCTTTTCTGATTTTAAATCATGCAGTATCCCCTGACTCTAGTACTCAAACTATTGCTGGCTCGGTGCACAGGTTTTGCAATGAGCACAGTTACGCAGTGTGTAATTGCCATTCTTGTCAAATATTATCTCTGATTTGTTATCCACAGTTTGATCCACACAGTCAAATGCCTTTGTATACCCAGTAAAGCACTGCTGATTATCTTTCCAGTATTCTCTGATTTTAGAAAAGATCCATCTGATATTAGCAATGCTTTATTCATTCCACATCCTCTTCTGAATCCAGTTTGGCTTTCTAGCAGTTCCCTGACTGTATA